CTGTCTGTCGGATTGTCTTTCTCTCTGTCTCTCTGTCTCTCTCTTCTGGTTCTCTCTTCTCTCTGTTCTCTCTCTCTCTCTCTCCTCTCTCTCTCTCTCTTCTCTCTCTCTCTCTCTCTCTCTCTCTCTCTCTCTCTCTCTCTCTCTCTCTCTCTCTCTCTCTCCCTCTCTCTCTCTGGCTATCTATCTATCTATCTATCTATATCTGCCTCTCTTATCTGTCTATCTACATGAATCTTTATGTTCATATATCGCTTATCACTGTCGCTTTTCCCTCTCATACACCTCTTTAGTTTGAATTTTCTCTCTCTCCTTTTTCCCTCTTGTCTTCCTCTCTCATGTCAGTCCTCCTCTCCCTCCCGCCTCCCTCAGTCCATAGCGTCGCCGCGGGGTACTAATGCAAGCCGTCTTTCACCCTTAGCGACATCCTGTTTATTCGGCGTCGCTGTGGCATCCTCTTGTCTTGCTGCTCTGCGCTGAAGACTCACTTAAGAAGGCGGTTTTCTTAAGATTCCGGAGTGTTAACTCTTCTCTTCTCTTCTTTTGTATTCTGTTTTTTTTTTTTCCTCTCTCTCTCTTTTTTTTCTTCCGTCGTTTGTGCTGTTTCTATATTTTTTTCTCTAATTTCGTCGTTTGACCTTTTCTATATTTTTTTCTCTCTCTCTCTCTCTTCTTTTCTTCGTCGTTTGACCTGTTTCTATATTTTCCCTTAGTTTCCCTCTCTCTCTCTTTTCTCTTTTTCTTCCGTCGTTTGTCCTGTTTCTATTTTTTTCTTCTCTTTCTCTCTCTCTCTCTCTCTCTCTCTCTCTCTCTCTCTCTCTCTTTCCTCTTCTTTCTTCTCTCTCTCTCCTCTCTCTCTCTCTCTCTCGTCTCTCTCTCTCTCTCTCTCTCTCTCTCTCTCTCTCTCTCTCCCTCTCTCCTCCCTCCCTCCCTCCCCCCTCCCTCCCTCCCTCCCTCCCTCCTCCCTCCCTTCCCTTCCTCCTTGCCTCCCTCCCTCCTTCCCTTCCTCTCTCCCTCCCTTCCCTCCCTCCTTCCCTCCCTCCCTCTTCTATCATCCGTCGTTCGCCTATCTCTATATCTTCCCTCTCTCCTCTTGTTACCAGGCTTGCTTTCGACGGAGCCCAAGCACACCTGCGGCTGATTGCGGCTTAATTCATATAGGTGTTGCGTCCACGGTTCGTTTTCCAAGGGGGGGGGGAGGGGGATTTACTCTCACTCTCTAAGGCCTTTCTCGTGTGTTAGTTCCTCTTTCTTTCTGTTGGTTGGTCTGCTTGTGGACGTTGCTTGGTGTGTAGGTAAGGTATGCTTACATTTATACATCCATACATTCATACGTGCATCTCTCTCTCTCTCTGTCTGTCTGTCTGTCTCCTTCTTCTCTCATCTTCTCTCTTTCTTTCTTTCTTTCTTTTCTTTCTTTCTTTTCTTTCTTCTCTCTCTCTCTTCTCTCTCTCTCTCTCTCTCTCTCTCTCTCTCTCTCTCTCTCTCTCTCTCTCTCTCTCTCTCTCTTATATATATATATATATATATATATATATATTATATATATATATATATATAATATATAATATATGTTATATCTATATCTATAATATATATATATATATATATATGTATATATATATTATATATATATATATATATATCATTTATATTATATCTATATTATATCATCTATACTATCCTAATCTATCTATCTATCTATATATATATAGATATATTATATTATTATAATATATATAATATATATATATACATACATACATACATACATACATACACCATACATACATACTACATACATACATACATATTCACACATATCTATATATACGCTTTATAAGTATATTTTCCTCTCTCACTGTGCAATTATTCTCCTCAATCAGCCCACTGCAACGCCCGCCCTCTCTCTCCCCCTTGGCAGGTGGCGGCGGACAGCAGGCGGTGTGCGGGTGGGGGAAGCTGACGACGCCCAAGCAGTGGAATAACAGCGACAGCAACGCCAGTGACAGCAGCAGCAGGTGTGGCAGCAGGACACGGGACTGACGGCGCCGCAGTCATGGAATCTGTCAAGGTTGTGACTCCGCAGAAGCTGTCCGCCATGGTCAGGAGCAGGGCGGACAAGGTGGGTCAGCTGGAGGGCGGCGCCGCACCACGCGAACGAGCTCGTAAAGATGATTACACTAAATGAATAAATAGATAGATAAATAAATGATGAACATGAATACACTAAATATGAATGAATACACTAAATGAATAAATAGATAAATGAATAAATGGTGAACGTGAATACACAATCTCGAAAATACGCATACACGCACAAGCACAGAAAACAAACAAACGTAAAATACACAGACGTTCGCAAAATTCGGTGTACACGCACACAACACACAAACAAACAAGACGTAAATACACAACCTCGAAAATACGCATACACGCACAAGCACACAAACAAACAAACGGAAATACACATACTTTCACAAATACGCATACATACCTACACAAACACACACAAAGACAAAAAACAAGCTAATAAGAACAACATACTTTTGCAAATACACAAACAAATGAAATTCACATACTTTCACAAATTACACATACATGCATACACAAGCAAACAAACTAACAAATAAACACCAATACACATACTTTCACAAATGCACCTACATACACAAACATATAAACAGACAGACACACACACACATAAATACACATATTTCACAAATATACATACATATACAAGCAAACAAATGAACACAGACAAACCTAAACACATTCATTTACTCTCACAACAACACCCACACACAAGACCTTCACATATGTATGTTTATTATTCTTGTATATATATGTTATTATTATTATCGTTATTTCATTTCATATAATATCTTTTGTTTTGTTTTGCGTTAATATATCTCTAAACATCTATCTTTCTTTGTTATATATACATTTTTTTTTTGTTTTTGTTTTATTAATCTCTCTCTCTCTCTCTCTCTCTCTCTCTCTCTCTCTCCTCTCTCTCTCTCTCTCTCTCTCTCTCTCTCTCTCTCTCTCTCTCTCTCTCTCTCTCTCTCTCTATCTATCTATCTATCTATCTATATATATATATATATTTCTTCTTTTCCTCTTTTTCTTCTTGTTTCTGTTTCTTTTTCTTTTTTACTTTTTGTTAACGTATCCCTAAACATGTATTTTTCCGCTTGACCTCACGAGTGACCTAAACCCCCTCCCCCCCCCTCCCACAGGCCCTCATCATAGACAGCCGCACCTTCTGTGAGTTCAACACCTCGCACATACTCAACTCTATCAACGTTTGGTCGTCAAAGATCAGGAAGAAGAGACTGCAGCAAGATTCCGTACGTTGGTGGAGAGAGGGAGAGAGGAGAGGGTGGAGAGGAGGGAGGAGAGGAGGGAGGGGGTAGGGGAGAGGGAGAGGGTGGGGGGAGGAGGCGGAGGGAGGGGAGGGAGGGGGAAGGGGTAGGGGAGAGGAGGGAGGAGAGGGGAGGGGAGGAGAGGGAGGAGGGAGGGGGTTGAGGGAGAAAGAAAAGAAGAGATAGAAGCATAGCATGTTGGGAATAATAAATAGAGGGATAAATGGATAGCATAGTTGAGAACAATGGATAAAGATATGGAAAGACAGAATGTTGAAAATAATGAAGAGAGGGAAAAAAACTAAAAACTTGATAATATTGAACAGAGAGACGTGGATAATAAGTTAAGATAATTGATAATGGTATCAGTGGTGGTAGTGGAAGTAGTACTAGTGATGATAGTGGTAATAATTAGTAATCAATTGAAATAGCAATAGTAGTAGTAGTAGTAGGAAATAGTAAATAGTATTAGTTATAGTTAGTAGTAATAGTAGTAGTAGTAGTAGTAGTAAGTAAAGTAATACTAGTAGTAGTAATAGTAGCAGCACAGTACCAGTAGTAATAGTAAAAGTAGTCCTGGTGCTGGTAGTAACCTTAGTACGAGCAACAGCAGTAGCAATAGCAAGTTAATAATAACAGAAGCACCAATAATAGCAGTAGCAACAACGGTAGCAATAGCAAGTTAATAACAACAGAACCCACCAATAATAGCAGTAGCACAACGGTAGCAACAGCAAGTTAATAACAAAGAACCACCAATAATAGCAGTAGTAAAAAAAATAGCACCAGTCAAAAAAAAAAAAATAAATAAATAAATAACCATATTTCTTAGCAGCAGCAGCAGCAGTCCAGCCACACCAAAAACGCCCCAATAACGACCCACTTCCTCCCCTTCTCCCTTCCAGATCTCCGTGCACGACTACCTCCAGCAGGCGTGCCACGTCTCGGGCCTGCACGACGGGCTGGACATCATCGTGTACGACCAGAACGCCCCCTCACTCTCCGCCGTTCCCCAGGACTCGTTCCTGCACGTGCTCCTCAACAAGCTCGGGCGCGCTTTCCCCTCCGTCTACCTCCTGGCTGGTGCGTGTCTGGAAGGGAAAGGGGAAGGGGGAGGGGATATGGGGGGGAGGCAGGATGTGGGGAAATGGGGAGGGAGAGGGTGGGGGTTATGGGGGGGAGCGATGGAAGGGGAATGGGGTTGGGAGGGGAATGGGGAGAGGGAGGGGAGATGGTGGGAAATGGGGGAGGGAGGAATGGGGAGGGGTTACTGGGGGAAAGGGGGAGGGATTGGGGAAGGGGAAATGTGGGGCATTGGGGATGGGTGGGAGAATTGGGAGGGATGGTGGTGGGAGGAATGGGGGAGGGGGGATGGTGGGAATGGGGAGGGGGAGGGGTTATGGGGGGAATGGGGGAGGCTGGGCGAATTTGGGGGAGGGGATGGGAGGGATTGTTTATGGGGGAATGGGGGGGGGAGGGGGAAATGGGGAGGAGGGTTTATGGGGGAATGGGGATTGGGGAGGGGTTTATGAAGTGGGGAAAATGGGGAGGGGTATGGGGGGAATGGGTGAGGGGGTCTATTGGGGAATGGGGGAGGGGGATGGAGGATGGATTATGGTGGGAAATGGGGAGGGGATATGGCGGGGATGGGGAGTCGGGGGATGGTGGGGAATGGGGTGAGGCGGTTATGGGGGGAAATGGGGGAGAGGATGGTGGGGAAATGGGGAGAGGGGGTTATGGTGGGGAAAAATTTTATGGTGGAGATGAGGTGAATATTTGAGTTTTAAGATAAAGGGGTTTTGCAGAGGAGTTTAGAAGAAAGAGTATTTACAGAGACAGGGAAAAAATGTACTTACTTTTGTCTCTTTTGGAAACGTGGGGAAAAAAAGAATTAGTTATGGTGCTTAAAGGATCATTTAATATTTTTGGCTCTATATTTTTTTTAATTTCAACTTAGTCACTTAGAAGATAAATAGTAAAAATAAAATAATAATGTTCATCTCAAAAACCACTTTGCCAACCTCACTTTTTTCCTTATAAGAAAAAAAAACTTCACATTTTTTTTCCTTTCATTTTTTTAGAATTCATTTCCTTCCATTATTGATATTTGATTTTAATGATGTTCATACTTTCTTCCTTTTTATTTTACCATAATTTTATCATTTACGAATTTCTCATAATGAAAATACCTTCACATTTAAAAAAAAATTCATTTCCTTCCATTATTCATATTTCTTTTTTTTTTTTTTTTTTTTTTTTTTTTTTTTTTTTTTACTCAGTTCATACTTTCTTCCCTTTTTATTTTACCACAATTTCCTCATTTACGAATGTCTCATAATGAAAATGCCTTCACATTTTTTTATAGAATTCATTTCCTTCCATTATTCATATTTGCTTTTTTTTTTTACTCAGTTCACACTTTCTTCCTTTTATTTTACCATTCCATTATTCATATTTTGCTTTTTTTTTTTTTTACTCAGTCCATACCTTCTTCCATTTTCCACAATTTCCTCATTTACGAATGTCTCATAAAAAGATACCTTCACATTTTAAAAAAAATAATTTCCTTCCATTATTCATTTCCCTCCATTATTCATTTGCTTCCTTTTTTTTTTTTTTTTTTTTTTACTCAGTCCATACCTTCTTCCCTTTTTATTCCCACAATTTCTCTCATTACGAAGTCTCATAAAAAGATACCTTCACATTAAAAAAAAAATCATTTCCTTCCATTATTCATTTCCCTCCATTATTCATATTTTTTTTACTCAGTTCACACCTTCTTTCCTTTTTTCCCACAATTTCCTCATTTTTTTTACAATGCCTCATAAAAACATACCTCCACATTTTAAAAAAATCATTTCCTTCCATTATTCATATTTTTTTTTTTTTTTTTTTTTTTTTTTTTTTTTTTTTTTTTTTTTTTTACTCTGTTCATACCTTCTTCCTTCTTATTTTCCCACAATTTCCTCACTTACGAATGCCTCCCTTCCTCTCTGCTCCTCCAGGCGGTTTCCTCGAGTTCCAGGCGAGATTCCCGGAGTTGTGCGAGGACTCGAGCAAGAAGTGCACGCCCCTGACCACCCAGTCCCAGCCGTGCCTTCCCGTCTCGAACGTGGGACCCACTCGCATCCTGCCCTTTCTCTATCTCGGATCTCAGCACGACGCCAACAACAAACAACTCCTTTCTGTGAGTAGATGTCGTGTTTATGTTCCTACGTGTGTGTTTGATTGTATGAGTCCATGTCCTCCATCTTTCATGCTTCTTGTACGAGAGGCCTGGCGGTTCTTGTACGCGGTGTTTGTACAAGGCTCCGGCGCGACTTGTACAAGTTCTTTCGTCGTCCATCTTGCTTTTTCTTTTTCTTTTTTTCTTTTCTCTTTCCTTCTTTCAAAATGAAACCTTAACCAGCAGGAGGACAGGCCTTTGAAGCGACACTCAAAAGGATTTTTAAGTTTATGCGGGAAATTTGCATATGATTATTTTTTCCTTCTTCTTTTCATTTCTTTTTTTTCCATGAATAAGAAAGATATTTCATTCATATTAGATTTTTTTTTTTTGTTAATATAAAATGAATAGAGAAAATGGGAGAAATACGTACTGGAAATGAAAGAGGAAAAGAAAAAAAAAAAAAAAATGCCAGGAAAATGTGTCTAAAGGAAAACGAAATTAAATCAGGAGAGGAAGAGAGAGGGAAGAGGGGAGGGGAGGGGAGGGAGGGGAGTAAGGGGAAGAGGAGAGGAAGAGAAGGGGAGGAAGGAGAGGAGAAGAGAGGAGGAAGAGAAGAAGAGAGGAGGAGAGGGGAGAGAGGATAGGGCAGGAAAGAGAGAGAGGAAAGGGAAAGATAAGGAGAGAGAGAGAGAGAGAGAGAGGAGAGGAGAGAGAGAGAGGAGAGAGAGAGAGAGAGAGAGAGAGAGAGAGAGAGAGAGAGAGAGAGAAGAGAGAGAGAGAGAGAGAGAGAGAGAAGGAAGCAAGAGAACGAGAGAAGTGACCCCCAATCCGCCCCGCACTCCACGCAAGACCGAGAGAGAGAAGAGAGAGAGAAAAAAAAAAAACGAGCGAGAGGGAGCGTCTTCCCTCGCGAGTGTTCCGCGTGCCCCTCTCTTCTCCCGCGGATGACCCCCAGCTGATGCCGCTGCCCTCCCTCCTCTACCCTCCGCAAGCCTCCGCTACCCTCCCTTCTCTACCATCTCTCCTCTACCCTCCGCAGCCCTCCGCTACCCTCCGTTACCCTCTCTCCTCTACCCTCCTCAGCCCTCCTGTACCCTCCCTCCGCTACCCTCCTCTACCTTCCTCCTTCCTCTACCCTCCCACTGCTACCCTCCTTCCTCTATCCTCCTCTACCCTCCCTCCTATACTCTCCGCTATCCTCCTCTACCCTCCGCTACCCTCCTATAATCTCCTCTACCCTCCGTTACCCTCCCTCCTCTACCCACCGCACCCTCCCTCCTATACTCTCCGCTACCCTCCCTCCTATACTCTCCGCAACCCTCCGCTACCTTCCCTCCTCTACCCACCCGCAACCCTCCCTCCTCTACCCTCCTCAACCCTCCGCGACCAGACGGCGACGGCGACGGCGACGGCTGCTGGCGGTCATGGCGAACCCAGGTGCGAGAGCGAGAAAAAAAAAATCCGTGATGTGTTCGGCGGGAAACGAACACCGACGAGACACAGGATAGGTGTGAGTGTCCCGGGAGGAGAGGAGCTCCGGCCGCGGGGACGGGGGGGTATAAATAGCTCTCTCTCTCTCGGTTGGGAGGGGATGAGGGATTGGAGATTGGGAGAGGAGGGATGGGATGGGATGGGGGAGGATGGGAGGGAGGGGATGGGAGGGAGGGGGGGGGGGGAGGGAGGGATGAGGAGGAGGGAGATGGGGAAGGGAGAGGAGGGAGGGAGGAATGGAGGAGGATAGGGAGGAAGGGAGGGAGGAGGGGAGGGATGGGGAAGGGAGGAGGGGAGGGGAGGAGAGGGAGAGGGAAGGGAGGGAAGGGAGGGAGGAGAGAGGGAGGGAAGAGGGAGAAGGGAGGAAGAGGGAAGAAGGGATGAATAGGGGATGAGGGGAAGAAGGGAGGGAAGAAGGAGGAAGACGGGAGGAGGAAGAAGAAGGAAGGAGGAAGAGGGAAGACAGGTAGAGGAAGAAGGAGAAAGGTAATGGAACGAGGATGGGAGGCTGAAGGAGGGGGGGCAGCAACGAGAGAGTGCAGGCTCAAAGTATATTTATAATTTCCGAAAGTATTTATAACTCATATATTACGCCGTGGCTTAATGAGGGGGGGGGGAGGGGGGAGGGGGCGCCTGGAAATGCTCCCGAACAGAGTGTATGAGGACAGGTGCATTGGCAGGTGTGGGCAGGTGACTCACACGCGGTACACCTGCGCGCTGACTCACCTCTGACCCAAAACTGCGCTGTGGGTTTTGAAGGAAAACTTTATGTGGAATATTTGTTAACTTTTATCCTTTCTTTAATCTTTCTTAATTTTTTTTTTTTTTTTTTTTTGTAAAATTGCTGAGTGGGGGGATGAGTGTATACTGTATTTATATAGTTTTTTTTTCTAAAAATTTCGTCGTTTTGGTATGATTGTTTTCTCTTTCTCTCTCTCTCTCTCTCTCTCTCTCTCTCTCTCTCTCTATATATATATATATATATATATATATATATATATATATATATATTTTTTTTTTTAAGACGAATGGAAAATATAAACGATGAGATTTTTATTTGTATAGTTTCACTGTGGTTTCTTTTCCCTTAAAAAACTACCGGATTTAAATACAAAACTACAATAAACATTCGTATAAAAGAATCTAAGAAGATAATGAAGATAATTGAATGGACAGAAATACCCTACGGTGAAATTAACTCCTCCTGGCCACGTGATCTCGAGCGCCGCCAACACGTGAGAAATGGCGCGAAATTTTTGTTTAATTTTAGAGCTTCTTCCCGCAACAAAAAAAGACAACCACAACACAGATTATATGTGTTGTTCTTTCTCCATTTTTTTGTTTTTATCTCTCTCTCTCTTTCTCTTCTCTGTTTATCGATCGCATTCACGGTAATGTAGATATAAAAACACGCGAAAGTGAATGGGATACCATTTCGAACGTAACGTAAAAATCTCTGTTTATCAATCACGGTAATGTACATAATTGCACACGCAAAGAGTTAAATAAGACACGAGTTTGATAAGAAAGTAAAGATCATAATGATGTAACAGTGCACGCGGTGTCGGATAAGAAAATGTCTTGTGTTCTGACACGTGACAGAAGCTGATCAGGGGTCGAGGCGGCGAGGTTAGGTTAGACTATAAAATCCTCTGGTTGTTTATAAACGCAGTGGTAATATTCCTTGTTAATTTGTTATCTTTTGGTCATTTTGGGGTGATCGTTAGGGTGCGGAGTGTCTCACATTCGCGGAAATAGATGAGAGGTGAATGTGTCTTTTTTGAATTCGTATTTGAAAAAAAAGCGCGGGAAAAATCCGAATTCTCGAGTGATGTTCGGAGTGTTCGGTTTTGGGTATTTTTAGCTCTCCTATCTTGTTTTATTTATTTCATCTGTTTATAGCGGTTACAAGTAGTATTTTATCCTTTTTTTCTCATTTATTTTCTCAGATTATTTCTTCACATGCTTGGATCTCTCTTTGTCGCCATTTTAAAACCATCCTTTTTGCTCTATCTTTTTTCTCCCTTCCCCCTTTCTCCTCCCTCCCCCTTTCTCTCACCTCACGGGCGTGTGAATGACGTGGTCGGAGGTTTATGTTGGCAAGCGCTTGTAGAGGTGGGCGTGCGCGAACACCTTGTACCCACGCGGGCGCCGGGAAGTCAAAGCCGCCCACGGACTGTCTCACGTGTATTTAAAAACCAGCGCCGCCGCGACGATTGATTTAGCTCGTGTGGGCGGCGTCGGTGGGCGGGGGGCGGGAGGGGCGAGGGTTGTGGGTGGTAGGGGGGGGCGGGTGGGTGTTGCTGGGTATAAAGAAAATGAAAATATATATGTTATATTTCTTTTGTTGCGTTATTGTTGCTTACACGCGCGCGCCGCGCGCACACACACACACACACACACACACCACACACACACACACACACACACACACACACACACACACACACACACACACACACACACACACACACACACCACACACACGCACACCCACTCACCCACCCACCCACCCTCCCTCCCTCTCCTTCCCTCTCCCCCCTCCCGCCCTCCTTCCCTCCTTCCCTCCCATCCTCACTCCCTCTCTCCCTCCCTCCCTCCTCTTCCCATCCTCCCTCCCATCCTCCCTCTTCCCCCCTCCCTCCCTCCCTCTTCCCCTCCCTCTCTCCCCCTCCCTCCCTCCCTCCCTCCCGCCCTCCCCTCCTCCCTCCTCTTCCCTCCCTCCCTCCTCCCTTCCCCAGCATGCCCGAGGGACACACCTCTGGAAGGTTAAAACTGTTGTCTGAATCACCAACATCTTTGCCCAGTTGGAGGAGGAGGGAGGAGGGAGGAGGGGAGGAGGGAGGGAGGAGGGAGGAGGGAGGGAGGAGGAGAGGAGGGAGGAGGGGGAGGAGGGAGGAGGGAGGAGGGAGAGGGAGGAGGGAGGAGGGAGGGAGGGAGGAAGGAGGAGGAGGGAGGAGGGAGGGAGGAGAGGAGGGAGGAGGGAGGAAGGAGGGGGAGGAGGGAGGAGGAGGAGGAAGGGAGGAGGGAGGAGGGAGGGAGAAGGAGGAGGGAGGAGGAAGGGAGGTGGAGGAGAGGAGGAGGAGGAGGAGGGAGAGGAGGAAGGGAGGGAGAAGGGAGGAAGGAGGGAGGAGGAAGGAGGGAGGGAGGAGGGAGGAGGGAGGAGGAGGGAGAAGGAGAAAGAAGAGGAGATACGAGGAGGAGGAAGAGAAGATAGAAGGAGGAGGGAAGAGGAGAAGGAGAGGAGAAGAAGAAGAAAAAAAAAAGAAAAAGAAAAAGAAAAAGAAAAAGAAGAAAAGAGTGAAAGAGGAAAGCAAAAGAGAGGGAGCCGAAGAAGAAGGAAATGCAGATACAAATGGAGATGGAGAAGGAAGAAAAGCGAAAGTAAAGGAGACGAATGAGGGAAATAAAAAAAGAACGAATAAGAGGAAACAGAGCGAATAAGGAAGAAGGAAAAGACAGATAGAGATAAACACGCATTCCTTAAGGAGAGGGAAAAAACAAGAAATAAAAATAAAACACATAATAGAGAAAAAATGAGACGAAGGAGGACATAAAGAAGAACTAAAAGAGGTAGCGAGGAATGCAGTCTTTTTAGCTGAGGGTTTTGGGTCTTTTTGATTTTGTCTTTTAAGTCTTTCTCTCTTCTCTCCTCTCTCTCTTCTCTCTCTCTCTCTCTCTCTCTCTCTCTCTCTCTCTCTCTCTCTCTCTCTCTCTCTCTCTCTCTCTCTCTCTCTCTCTCTCTCTTCTTTGTCTCAGTCTCTCAGTCTCTCTCTCTCTCTCTCTCTCTCTCTCTCTCTCTCTCTCTCTCTCTCTCTCTCTCTCTCTCTCTCTCTCTCTCTCTCTCTCTGATTTAAGGGAAAAGAAACACAAGATAGATCTTACCTAGATGTGGCGACAAGGGAAGTAGCAGATAAAATTTAGATTATTAATAGGAAAAATGCTATTGTGTTGTGGTGTGTGTGTGTGTGTGTGTGTGTGTGTGTGTGGTGTGTGTGTGTGTGTGTGTGGTGTTCGTGTGTGTGTCTGTGTTCGTGGTGTGTCTGCGTTCGTGTGTTGTCTGTGTTCGTGTGTGTGTCTGTGTTCGTGTGTGTGTATGTGTGCTAGTGCGTGTGTGTGTATGTAAATATGTATGCATGTATGTACGAACGTATACACAGTTTATAACGAGTCACTAAGCCTTCACACTAAGAAAATGCATTTGATGAAGTACGGTTGTATTTAACCTAAGAGTTTCTCGGAACAGGAAACCTACAGTAACTTCACAACCCTCTGAATTTTTACTCGAAAATCAACGAAATTCGAACTTCACATAGTACATGATTTTTATCACGATGTATAAAGGATTGGAAAATAACAACAACGAAAGGAAATATACGAAAAACAACACTATAAGCCATGTGTATTGTTTCTGCGGTTCCGAACGTGTAATTTAAGCGCATATGAATCTTCTTTTGTTTCTCGTGAATGAACTTAGAAAAAGATGTCAAGAACATGTACACAGATGTTTATTTTCGAAATGAAGAGAGAGAGGGAGAGGGAGAAAAAAGAGAGAAAGGAGAGAGAGAGAGAGAGAAGAGAGAGAGAGAGGGAGGAGAGAGAGAAGGAGAAGAGAGGAGAGAGAGAGAAGGAGATAGAGGAGAGAGGGAGAAAGAGAGAGAGGGATAGAGAGGGAGGGATAGAAGGAGAGGGAGAGAGGGAGAAAGAGAGAGATAAAGTAAAACAAAAGACTAAAAACAAGGAAGAGGCCACAGGAGAATTGGTTTTAGGTGATATTAATACACCAAAAAAATATCCTAACGAGAATGTAGGCCAAAAAAAAAAAAAAGAAAAAGCCCCCGCTATTTAGGTTTGTGCTTGAGAGAGAGAGAAGAGAATGCAACCCCCCCTCCCCCCCTATCCCAAGAAAAGACCAATTTAAACGTTGTACTACAGTTATAGCAGACGACATAAGTAGTAAGACAGACGACTATTGCTTACATACCGATGTCGCACTGCCCAAAATACTTTTTTTTTTTCTTTTTCTTTCTTTTTTCTTGTCGCATTGACCGGAACATTGTTTTTTTTTTCCTTTTCTTTTTCCTTTTTTTCTTGTTGTATTGCCCAGAACACATCTTTTTTCTCTCTTTTTTTTCTCGTCGCATTGTCCAAAACACTTCTTCTTTTTTTCTCTTTTTTCTTATTTACAACGGCCGTTCAGTCCTGATATATTATCATGTCTGGCCGCGGTGTCTCTCCGGTTTAGAGATATTTATGTGGCTCTCCATTAAGCTTGGCTGTGCTCACGTACACACTCACACACACACTCTCCTTGGCGGACTTGTTCCTAAAGGCGTGTGATATTTGCGTCCGTGTGCGTGTCCGTGTGCGTTGGCGAAAGGCTATATTAAGAGAAAAAAGAAGGAAGAAGAAGGAGGAGAAGGAGGAGGAGAATTGAAGAAGAGAATGATGAAGAAGAGAATGATGAAAGAAGAGAATATGAAGAAGTAAAGAAAGGAGAAGAGGAGGGAGGAGGAGAGAGGAGGAGGAGGAGGAGGAGGAGGAGGAGAGAGAGAGGAGGAGGAGGAGGAGGAGGAGGAGGAGGAGGAGGAGAGGAGGGAGGAAGGAGAAGGAGAAGAGAAGGAGAAGAAGAGAATGATGAAGAAGTAAAGGAAGAGGAAGAAAAGAAGAAAAATGGAGGACCAAAAAACCCGCCAACCCGCACGTGTTTCAAAAGGTCGGTAACCCCCTCGTATTTTTTTTCTTTATATTATTATTATTATTATTATTTACTTCTGTGGCCAACCGCCATTTAGAGGAGCCTTATCAGAAGGAATGACATTCATATGTTTCATGTTGGCTTTGAGAGATTTTGAGATTACTGATATATGAACCACAACAGCGCGTAGTATGTTCATCATAAGGAGAAGGAGAGGGAGAGGGAGAGAGAAGAGGAGAGGGAGAGCAGGGAGAGGGAGGAGAGGAAGCAGGAGGAGAGAGCGAGGGGGAGAGGGGAGGGAGAGAGGAGAGGGAGGAGAGGGAGAGGAGGGAGCAAGGAGAGGGGAGAGGAGAGGAGAGGGAGAGGGAAGAGGAGGGAGGGGAGAGGGGAGAGAGAGAAGGGAGAGGGAGAGGAGAGGGAAGAGCGAGAGAGGGAGAGAGAGAGAGGGAGAGAGAGAGAGAGAGAGAGAGAGAGAGAGAGAGAGAGAGAGGAAGGGAGATCGAGAACGAGAAGAGAGAGAAGAGAAAGGAAAAGAAAGAGAGAGAGAGATAACGAGAGAGAGAGAGACCGAGAGAAAGAAAGGAAGAGAGCGAAGAGGAGAAAAAGGCACGCGGAAGGTAAATCTAACCTTACATAGCAATGGCGGCTCCAACCCCCTTACCCCAAGTTACCTTTTATTAACCGTCTCTCTCTCTCTCTCTCTCGCTCGTTTTATTTCCAACCTCCCTTTTCGATAATATTAGCCGCCGTGGGAGTGGGAGGCAACGAGGCTAAATCTGGTCGGGAGTTTTGCCACGTGAGAGTCGTCCAACGGTCTCAGATTCGTCTCCGTATTGTTATGAAGGAAATGCTTGCCAAGATACGGGTTTTATGTTACAGTTTAGGGTTTGGTGTTACTTTCTTAGAGTTTGGTGTTACTTGTTTAGGGTTTGATAGTGTTTTGATGTTTACTTTTTCTAGAGTTTGATGTACTTGTTTAGAGTTTGGTGTTACTTTTTCTAGAGTTTGATGTTACTTTTTTAGAGTTTGATGTTTTTGATGTTACTTTTTCTAGAGTTTGATGTTACTTTTTCTAGAGTTTGATGTTACTTGTTTGTTTTGTTATTACTTTTTAAGTTTGATGTTACTTTTTTGGTGTTACTTTTTTAGAGTTTGATGTTACTTTTTTTTAGAGTTTGGTGTTACTTTTTTTAGAGTTTGGTGTTACTTTTTTAGTTTGAACTTTTTTAGAGTTGATGTTACTTTTTAGAGTTTTGATGTGACTTTTTTATTTTTTTTGTTTGATGTTACTTTTCTAGAATTTGATGTCGGTGTTTGCGGTGTGGTGGTGTTGTTGCTGACTGATGGTCCCGGTTTGTCCTTTGGTGTTGATCTCTTGTTATAGAGAAGCCATATGATGAAAACGATACACTGGTTTATTTATAGCAAGCTTATATGTAAAGGGAATGCACATAATGTATCTATACAGTAATTATACAATGCTTATATACTGTAGTTATATACATGTATATGCATAAACATATATATATATATATATATATATATATTCTTAATCATATTCATATTTATATTCATATACATATGCATATATATATATATATATATATATATATATATATATATATATACATATACATAAACATTTATATATACATATACATACACAGACACACGTATGAATACATACATAGTATGTATAAGCATGTCTGTGTGTTGTTTTTTCGCGCGCGTGTGCAGAGAGAAATGAAAAGTCTTTGACAGTTCCTGTAAGTCTATTTCGTTAACTCTTTCAGTAAGATAATTAAAAATGTTTTCTTATCCCTTCTCAAAAGACTTGACATCTGTGTTGACAAAACTTTTTCTCGATTCAAATTACTTTAGTTTAAAATTTTTAAACATGAAAGACAAGATGTTTAGCGCCGCAGTTGGCAGTTTGTTACTAGGAAAATATTTACTTGTGTGGATTAGCTAACCTGTCGTTTATTTTGCGTTTCTTGGGTTTTTAGATTTTAGATTTTTTGAAATTCCAGGTTTTCTTCTTCTGTCCATCGATGTAGTTATTAATCTACGTCTCTCTCTCTCTTTTCTTTCTTTCTCTCTTCTCTCTCTCTCTTTCTTCTCTTTTCTCTCTCTTTTCTCTCTTTTCTCTTCTCTCTCTCTCTCTCTCTCTCTCTCTCTCTCTCTCTCTCTCTCTCTCTCTCTCTCTCTTCTCTCTCTCTCTCTCTCTCTCTCTCTCTCTTCTCTCTCCTCTCTCTCCCTCCTCTCCTCCCCCCTCCTTCCCCCCTCTCCCAACCCCCCACTCCTCCCTCTCCCTCCCCCCCCTCCTTCCCCCTCCTCCCCCTCCCACCCTTCACCCCCTCCCTCCCAACCCCCCCCCCCCCACCCCACACCACCCTCGCAATCCACCACAATCCTCCCTAACACCCCCCTTTCCTCCCTTCTCTCCCTCGCAGGACCACAACATCTTGTACGAGCTGAACGTGAGCGTGTCCTGCCCCAAGCCGGACTTCGTGCAGGAGTCCCACTTCATGCGGATCGCCGTCAACGACAACTTCAGCGAGAAACTGCTCCCTTATTTCAATGATGCCTTTAACTTCATCGGTGAGTTGGGTTTTTTTTGTTTTCTTTTTCTTTTTCGTAATTTGTTATTTTAGTCTGATTTTTTTGTTGTTGTTATTTTCGTCTGGGGTTTAATTTTATTTTTTATTTTTTCATTATTTGTCTTTTTTTTTTTTTCTTCTTCTTCTTTTTTTTTTTTTCTTTTCTTCTTTCTTCTTCTGTTTTTTTCTTTTTCGTAATTTATTATTTTAGTCTGATTTTTTTTTTTTTTTTTTTGTTATTTTAGTCTGGGGTTTATTATTATTTTTTAATTTTTTCATTATTTGTTATTTTTTCTTCTTCTTTATCATTATTTGTTATTATAATTATTGTTTCTCTTCTTTATTATTATATTTTTTTTCTTTTTCATCATTATTTTTTTTTTTCGCATTATTTTTTGTTCTTTTTCATTCTTTGTTCTTTATTATTTATTTTTTGTCTTTATCATTATTTATTTTTTGTTCTTTATCATTATTTATTTTTTGTTCTTTATCATTATTTATTTTTTGTTCTTTATCATTATTTTTTTATCATTATTATTATTATTTTTTGTAGATGAATTAATGATTTTTTTCAGTATTTTTTTAGGTATTCTTTGTTATTATTTTTTCTTCTTTATCATTATTTATTATTATTTTTTCTTCTTTATCATTATTTATTATTTATTATTTTTTCTTCTTCTTTATCATTATTTATTATTATGTATTTTTTCTTCTTTTTTATCATTATTTATCATTTTTATCTTTATCTTTATAATTTTTTTTATGAATTATTGACTTTTTCAGTAAGACTTTTTTGGTATTCTTTGCTAGATGTTGACGGTACTTTTGATACTGGAATCACGTTTATTATCTTAGTATTTTGAACAATTATGCAAATAAAGCAGTAGATGAATAAGTAAATAAATAAGAAAATAGAGTAAATAAATAAGGATATGAAAAAAAAGTTAATAAATGAGACAAATAAATGAAGCTGATGAAATGAATAAGTAAAAAGGTAAATAGATAGATAAATAAAAACGTTTTAATGCCCATTAATTTCCGTTTTTTTTTTCTTTAAGTAAAAGATAAATAGATAATAAATGGATAAAAAAAATGCCATTAAAGTCCTTCTCTGTGTTTTTTTTTGTTTTTAAGTAAAAAGATAAATAAATAGATAAATAAAATTTTCGCCCATTAATTTTCCTTTCTGTGTTTTTCTTTTTAATAAAAGATAAATAGATAAATAAATAAAAAAATGCCATTAAAGTCCTCTCTGTGTTTTTTTTTAAGTAAAAGATAAATAGATAATAAATAAAATGTTTGACGTCCATTAATTTCCCTCTCAGTTTTTCTTCTTAAGTAAAAAATAATGAATAAATAGATAAAAAATGCCCATTAAAGTCCTTCTCTTTTTTTTTTTGTTTTAAGTAAAAAGATAAATAGATAAATCAAAAACTGACCCTTTAATTTCCCTCTCTGTTTTTTTTTTTTTTTATAGTAAAGATAAATAGATAAATAATAAAGACTCTTTAATGCCCATTAATTTCCCTCTCTGTTTTTCTTCTTTAAGTAAAAAGATAAATAGATAAATAATAGATAAAAAAATGCCCATTAAAGTCCTTCTCTGTGTTTTTTTTGTTTTTAAGTAAAAAGATAAATAAATAGATAAATAAAATGTTTGACGCCCATTAATTTCTCTCTCTGTTTTTTTTTTTTTTTTTTTTTTTTTTTTAAGTACAAAGATAAATAGATAAATAAAACACTTTTTACATCCCATTAATTTCTCTCTCTTTCTTTTTTTTTCCTCTTTCTCAGACAAGGTTCGTGAGTCGGGCGGCTGCGTGCTGGTCCACTGTCTGGCGGGGATCTCGAGGTCGGCCACGGTCGCCATCGCTTACGTCATGAAGCATCTGCGACTTCCCTTTGATGAAGCTTATATGTGAGTGTCGGGGGGGGGAGGTCGGGGGGTTGGGGGTTGGGGGTAGTGTAGGGGTCCTTTGGGAGGTCGGGGGGGTGGGAGTAGGGGTCCTTGGGAGGTGGGGGTCGGGGAGAGTCGGGGTCCTTGGGGAGGTTGGGGTCGGGGGGGTAGGGGAGTAGGGGTCCTTGGGGGGGTCGGTCGGGGTCGGGGTCCTACTTTTGAGGGATTTTTGTTTTAAGAGGGAGGGGGTGGGGGTGGTGATTTTGGTTTGGGGTATTTTTTTTCTTCTTTTAGATTTGAGAGGAGTCTTTGTTCTATGTTGCGGCTGGAGGGAATAATCTGTGTTTCTTTTGCCGTCCTTTTCGAGACTGATTCCCCCCCGCGCCTTGCAGGTACGTGAAGACGCGGCGCCCGACCATCTCCCCGAACATCAACTTCGTGGGCCAGCTGGCCGAGCTGGACCGGCAGCTGCGGCGCGACGCGGGCCAGCGGGACCCGACCTCCGCGCCCATCCTCTTCCGCAGCCACGAGTCGCACTCGTCGGGTTCGTCCACTGCCTCGATCTCGTCCTCGGCGGCCTTCGCGTCGACCTACCTGGAGAGGCACGCGTGTTCGGGCCTCCAGAGCAACATGCCCAAGTCGCTCAGCCTCAACCTCCGGTCGACCCTCGAGGCCGTGCCCGCCTCGCCGTCCTCCTCACCTCACTCCCCGGACATGTCGCCCTCCTCGGCGCTCGCTCGACTCAGCTTCGCCTCCGCCCTGGACGAGCTGCACGACGACGGGCTCCCCGCCACGCCCAAGTGCCCCTCGCCCGCCACGCCCATCTCGTGTCTACCTCCTTCCTCTCCCGCCACGGCGATCGTCCGCGACTCCAATAGTTCCCCGGTCTTCTCCTACAGAAAGACTTCTAGTTCTTCACCCACGTCCCCTGCCTTCAGCTCCTTCTACAAGAGCAAGGAGGTGTCTAGTCGGACTAGTAGTGACTACAGAAGTGAGGCTAAGATTACGTCTTTAAAAGAAAGCTTTACATCTAGTGATAGCATTAAGAGTACAAGCGGGTCAACCAGCAATTATTACAGTAGTGCCACCTTTAAAGTGGGGGCGGCCGAGGCAGGGAGAGGGGTGGGGGGAGACGCGAGAGGGAGAGAGGAAAAGAAAGTGAGCAATACGTCCTCTTCCTCCTCCTCCTCCTCCTCCTCTTCCTCCCGGCGGTGCAGTGACGGCGAGGCGCGGCAGGTTTCTGTGTGTGTGATTGACGTGAAAAGAGAAAAGTCGCCGGTCAGCTTCGTCCGCCGAGAGCCGCTGGTTGTGCGTGAAACTCAGGTCATTGCCACGCCGTGTCATGTGAAGCCCGAGGTCAGGTCTGTGCTGGAGGTGCAGCTCGAGGACGGCCGGCAGAAGGAGGAGCACATCACGGTCAAGGAGGGGACGAGAAAGACGGCCGAGGAGAAAACCTCCAAAGAGAACAACAAGAAGAATCAGGAAGACAAGAAGGAGGCGCGCGAGGAGTCGGTTCTGACCATCGAGAGCTGCCGGCCGCCGCCGAAGGAGGAGGCTCCGGCGCGGCCGAGGGAGGTCATCGTGCCCATCCAGATCGCCGGCGCCAGGGAGGGCCGGCCGCGCGTGCTGGAGCTGAGCGTCCCCTTCAGCGGCCAGAAGCAGCAGAAGGCGCAGCAGAGCCAGCCGCAGCCCGCCACCACCGCGTCCACCGCCTGCACTACCAAAGTACCTGGAAGCGGAGTCTGGTTGCCCGAGAGCCCCAGAGAAGCATCAGTCGCCGGTCCGCCCACGGCAGCCACGCCCAACTCGCCTCACTCGCCGGGCGTGCAGCAGAGTGACTCAGGAATCATCGTGGAGGAGGAGAGAGGCGAGATCCCGCCCAGCCCGCAGCGCCTCCCGCGATGCTACTCCTCCAGCGAGACGCACCTCAACACGCGCAGGCTGCTGGAGCACCGCAACCCGGACTTCACCGCCCGAAAGTGCTCCAGCTACGACGAGGTGGGCCGGGCGTGGCCCCACAGCCAGCACCCTCAGCCGCACCAGCAGGGCGTGGGGCGCGAGAGCACGACCTGGCTGTGCCCCTGGGAGCTGGCGCGCAGTGACAGCGTCTCGACCAGCGGCTTCGGCTCGGAAATCTCAGACACGGATCTCCTGCACGACGACGCCCACTCCACCACGACCCAGGAGGACGCCCTCGGGCCCTACGACGCGGTCTTCGCCGACGTGTTCCCGGGGGAGCAGGTGCCGAAGCAGCAGCCCACGACGCCCAAGACCCCGCGGCCCGCGAGCCTCCCCGGGGTCACGGGGGCCTACTTCTCGCACTTCGAGGTGAGGCCAAAGACAGGTCATTCGGGGGGCTCCAGGTCTCGCTTTTCAGGTTTTCTCTGCCTCTTCTCTATTTTCTTTCGCATTAAAAATATTGATACACATTACATTTGGCTTACTAAGGATACCAATTCTCTTATTCATTCGAGTGACCTTTTTTCACTCCAAAATCATTTTGTCTGTATTGCTTTAGAGATGAGCGTGTGTTCACACAATCACATACTCCTATATTTTTAAAATGCACCGCGCATCTGCTTGGACAAACAAAATTCCACCAAAACCCAAAACTTGCAACAAACAAAACCACCACACCTTAAATCCTCATGCCATAGCAATCACAGCTTTCCAAACAACCAAACACGTCAACCACCACCACGAACCGGGATACCAGCCACCTTACCAAGTAAGGCTTACAATAACAGACAAGGAAAATACTACCCAACCACAATACCAGATCAACATATCCACAGATAATTACGAAAGATTAAGTTATCAAACGACAGACAATAAAGAAATACATAACGATACCCAACCACCACCAACCAACCACCTACCAGATCAACATATGATAAACGACAGAAAGATTAATACCAGTTATCACACGACAGACAATAACGATACAATACCAGATCAACATCCACAGATAATTACCAAACGACAGACAAAGAAATACATAACCACCCACCACCACCAACCGCCAACCACCACGACCACCCAACCTCCCTCCCGGTCTTTCCAGTCAAGCGCGGACCCCGGCTTGGACATGGGAGTCGACATGGGACCCGGCAGCGTCGAGCTCCGGCACAGCGGCAGAGGGCGGCTGGGGATCGAGAAGAAGGACTCGGGCTATTACTCCTTCCTGACGGAGCACCCGCCCGTCAGCCCTCGTACCATGGGCGAGGGCGTGAGGCACACGACCAGTGAGTACCGCTTCGGGTTTTTTTTTTTTTTTTCGGGTGGTCGTGTATGGGCTGTTGTTGTTATTTTTTGTCGTTATTATCGTTATTGTTATTGTTGATGTTGATGTTATTTTTCATCATTTGTAATTTGTTATTGTTATTGTTATGGTAATTATGATTATTCTCATAATTATTATTATTGTTGTTATTATTGTCTTTGTATAATTTGTTATTTGTTATTTATTATCATTATATTATTATTATATATTATTATTATTATTATATTATTATTATTATTATTATTATTATCATTATTATATTATTATATATAATCATCATTCATTATTTATATTATTGTTATATATTATTCATTTTTTGTTGTCATGATTATCATCATTATTGTTATCATTATTATTTTTTTTATTATTATTATTATTCATTATTTTATTATTATTGTTTATCATTATTGTTATTGTTATTATTATATATTATCATTATTATTATTATTATTATTATTATTAATCATTATTATTATCATTATTATTATTATTAATCTTATTATTATTATTATTTTTATTAATGTTGTTATTATTATTATCATGATTATCATTATTATTGTTATCATCATCATCATCATCATTATTATTATTATTATATGCTGATTGATTGATATGTTAATTAGTGATCATCATCCATTATTGTTATTTATTTTTTTATCAGGACTAATGTGCCCATTTTTGCTGCTATGTTGGTGTCGTTTCCCCCCATTTCTTTTTTTTATTTTGAAGGAAGTGTTTTAGAAGAATCGTATTTAATGAAAATTTGTGTAATTTTATATGATGTCAGATGTATATTATTTCAGATATAATAGTTTGTACTTATGATGTTCTGTTGGATGAGAAAGTGGTAAAAATATTTAGGTGAAAATATGATGATGTTAATTAGGAAAAAGATATTCGATAACTCCAACGTAGAATTCTGTCTCTGCTGATTGCACAGTATTGATTTTTTATTTTATTCTAGCCTTATACCCTTTATTGGGACTGTTTATCTTGCCGCAACTGCTGGATTCGGCATTCTGTTCTGTGCAGTACTTTAGTCGTGGTTTCACAGAAGGAGTTCATATATGACTTATTATAAAAGGCAGGTAACAAGAGCGGCACTATGTGTGGTTCTTGCGTTGATGGAAACTTTATTCAAATTTAGGATGATTACATTTTGTAATTTGTACTGGATAGAGGCTTGATTTTTTGTGTTCCTGAGAATTATACTTATATATATATATATTTGTATATATGTATATATATATGTATTATGTATGTATGTATATATGTATGGTATATATATGTATATATATATATATATGTATATATATATGTATACACATCCTGTTTTTTCATCATAGATAATCACTGCAAATGAATTGCATGATGACAGTAAACCACATTACTAACATTGATTTTACTGATTTTTGGGAAACTGATTCTCTAGTCATTTTTATGTCTCACATTAATATCTTGACTGCTTCATTTCATAATGTATTTTCAAAGAGAGTCAGTGCACATGCTCTTCATTTAAACGCTTTTGTAGCAGAATGACTTTTCTGCAATAACTTACTGTTGTTCTAAATGTAACTTACTAAAGAAAAATGTGCTTACAAGAAAATGTTTTTTGTTGGAGGAACAGTGCTGACTTAACCTATGGCTTTAGGAAATGCCTTTAGGAAATAACTTAACAATCTTTCCTAATTATCTGTAGATAAGTTGCTCTGATAAAGGTTCAGGGAAATGACAGATAATAAAAGAAATAAATAACCTGCTCAAAGCAAATGATAACATATTTGTGCAAAAATGTGTGTATTACTAATAATCCTGTGTCACTTTCTTTCTTTCTTTTTTATTGCACCAGAAATGCTTTCATTCATTGGCTGTCATTATTGTTTCCAGGCTTGATAAGTCTTTTATGACACTCATCAGACCCAGGTGGTGAAGGTAAATTGAGATCCTTGAAAGTTATATAAAGCATAGCGGATAGGAAACCCATAGACATTGAAATAGAGGAACTTTTTCTAGAGATCTCCTTAGAAATACTGTATAGAGAGTGATTAGAGACACCATTTAGATTGGTTAGGTTGAGAATGGTCTGGGTTATGGTGTATGCATGTCTGATTGGAATGAATATTATTATGTGTTTTCTGTACTGTATATTCTGGAAAAGATGTACTGTATTTTAGGAAAGTATGTATTTGGTTTTATTCCTTGAGAATCTGCAGATTGATTTTATCTTTAAAAGTGAAGTAGCTAAGTGTATGTTACTGTTTAAATCTGTGATGCAAAATGTAAGAACAAATTTTCCACTTTGAAGAATTTTTCTCTTGTATATTCTGTTCATGTATATAGCTGACAGAAGAATGTGAAATTAATATACAAATTGAATGAAAAAAATGAATTTGTTATGTTATCTTGTTACATCATAATTTGATTATCAACTATGATTTTCTATGCAAATCCTACCACAAAACAGTTTGCTCATATTCATAATGATCCGAGGAAAAGATGATTAGAAAAATGGGATTGCTTAGAGTATCTGAAATATATGTAACTTGTGATTACCTATAGTGTGACTTGATAAATTAGGTTAATCATTAAATCATTAACCTTCAGAATTTAGATGTTTATTACTTACAAAGATTTGATACTTGAGACTTTGTATAAAGAGGAAGACAAAAGTTTCGTAGTCTGATGTGATTAAGTTATTACATTTTTGATAAACTTTCAATAATTCTCTTGATTGCTGTTGTGTAACCTTATCATGCACCAGTTTAATTTATGACAACAATTTTACTGGTGAAAATTATATTGCCTAACAAGTGATATTAGCTTAAAGTTAGGTAATATTATTCATGATTTTGTATTTCACTCTTATGATTTTCAAATTTTTATGTTGGTTGATATTTTTATGGAATCATTAATATTCTTTTGACGCACTGTGGGTAGAAACCCTCAACCAACTGTATTTTTCTTTGTTTTTGTATATTTGGCAACAACTGATACAAAAACATCAATGATAATGGCCGTTATCATTAACATCATTTGAGGAATTTAATCAATAATTGAAATTGATATGATGAGTAGTTTTGTTGACAATCGCACCCTAAAGTTTCAGGAAAAGCAGTGGAGGCCTTGGTGACGTAAGATCACACTACTTCCAGGCCTATTTCTAGCTCCTTTCTTAAGGAACCTTTTCCAACATTCTCCATCTTCTCTCCATCTCTCTCTCTCTCTTTATTCTTGCTGTGTCTGTATTTCTTTCTCTTTCAGTTTCTCACTCATGTATTCATTTACTCATTCTCTCTTTTTGTTTTTATCTTTACCTTTCCTTCATTGGTTCCGTCTCTTTCTCTAATTTATACATTCGTGCTCTTCCATCTTATACCCTCCTTTTCTTTCCCCCTTTAATTTATTCATCCATTCTCTCTTTTTCTGTTATAGGATTCCTCTCTTAACTTGATCTGCTACTCCTTATCTGATATAGACTTTTTTTGTCTAGAAAACAAATGATCCAAAGAACTGAAAAAAGTCAAATGAAATATTAGCTGCAACAACGGTATTTGGTCGCCTGCTGTGATATCATCCTTGCGTTTTTCTGAAGTTCTGTGGCTTGGCGCAGTTTTAGGGCGATTTCCATCAAAACTACTTATCAGTCTAAATGCACTTCTTGATGAGAATATTAAATAGTACCAAAGGATAGATTTTGGAAATTCAAAAAAGGGACCAGTCAACATTTATTATTTGATATTTCAAAGTTGTACATACCAGAAGTGTTAATGACTCCAGTATCATATACAACTTTTAGGTGTGAGGTACATGTTCAAATGACTTTGTGTGTGTGTGTGTGTGTGTGTGTGTGTGTGTGTGTGTGTGTGTGTGTGTGTGTGTGTGTGTGTGTGTGTGTGTGTGTGTGTGTGTGTGTGTGTGTGTGTGTGTGTGTGTGTGCATGCAAACATGTGCACCTGCATTTGTGTGTGTCTTTGAGTATATATGTGTGTATGGCTGTGTGTTAGCATAGAGATGTGTATGTGCGTATCTTTCTCATTCCCCTTTTTCTTCTTTTCTCTTTCTCTTTGTCTTTGTCTTTCTTTTTATTTCTCTCTGTCTATCTCTAGAAAAACTAAGAATATTAAAGTCATGTATTTTTCATTTGCAACATTTGAGTGAGGAATGAAAATGGAAAGTGGAATGGATGTTGTATGTAAAATATGGTGTGTAGCAACTGTAGAATAGACCCATGAAGAATTTCTTTGTAATTGATGGATTTGCAACATAGTATTGAATGTATTTTAAATTTTTGTTATAGTGTTATTACAGTTTTTTGTGTTTTTCTGTTTTCTACCTTGATAGAAAATTATATAAAGCCATCATGCATATTTTCCCATATTACATTTTCTTCCCATTTTACCCTCTCGTGTGTAAAATAGAAAATTTTGAAAGGTCATGGAAAAGAAGAAAATTTAGTGTACACACCAAGACACTGCTAGTGACGAAAGTGGTGTTTTCAGGGAGAATAAGTGGCAGCGGATTCAGATGGGGGTTTCGTAGGCCCCCTTTGAGATCACCTCGACGTTTCGACTTCTTTTGATCGTGAAGGATATGGGCAGCCATGGTACTTAGCTAATTGGTGTGACAGGGGAGAGCTGTGAATCCGGCAGTGGAATTGATAGTTGCGGCTGAACAATCCCTGTATGAAAAGATATAGGATGGGATGAATGCAGTACTTGAAGAAATACTGTATTAATACCTTTTTTTTAGAGAGAGAGAAATGATAAAACATAAATGCATCAGAATTGATTATTGAAGATGACTACTAGATATCTAAAGTGAACTATTACTTAGAAAGAATTTTCACATGAAACAGAGATAGATCCATAAGAATTTTTCCTCAAAACAAGCAATTAATCTTAAAAAATCATAATTTATCTCTAATATTTTCATTCAGGGATTATAGATGATACAGATAATCATACATAGTTACATAACAATCGATTCATACCAATAAGATTATATATAAAAAGAAAAAATTGGAAAAGATCGCCATCACATCTCTCCCCGAGATAGGTTGCTGTAGAGAGAGGTTAGGTCTTGCTGACTGACCTGGAGAAATTGCATGACCTAAGGCTACAGGTTGATGTGTTGCTTACTGTTGGGCTGAACAAATCTCATGGACAGTACTGATAAATCTATAACATAACCATTATATGTCTTTCATTTCTTTTAATATTAATTGTTGTGGCATTGATTGTAAAAATTATATAAAAAAAAAATTACAGGGTAAGTAATTTTGGCTGATATTACTGGCTGCATTTCTTCTTCTTCTTTCCTTTTCTTATTGCCTTTGTTAATACTCCCCAACATCTGAACAGGATGTCTGGAGCGGTTTTATACGTAGCATTCATGGGTAATGAGGTGCGCCTTACTGAACTTCTGTCAGAGGGATTGTGAACAGTTCTTGATATACAACTTACATGATATTTAATCACATGTGAAACTACATATGCATTACTGTATATACATCTCACTTTGGTTAAATGTGTGAGGGTTAGAGTATAGGCAAAATAATGCACACAGTTTATATTTGTAGCTTATAAATATGATGGGAAAACCAGGAAGCACTGGAGAGGGAATCAAACATGATATAGACTAAAAAAATTGGATATTATCATGCTCTCCATTCATTCAAATGTAACAAAAAATATTTATATGTTAAGAGGTTAATTACACATTTCACAACCATCATTCATCTAATTACATTTGATTATTCATATATTATTTTTTGATAATGATATATAATTTTTTGATTATATATTCTTAATTTTTGATAAAATGCATCTAAATCATAGTATTTCTTGATTATATATTATTAACTTTTTGGTAAAATGCATCTAAATCAAGTATATGGAAATATAGAAAATGCTTGGTTGCTTTCAGGAATAGGACATTGCAAATTTGATAAAGTGGAGATGAAATCACGTGAAATTTTGTAGTAGGTAATCATGATGCAGTCATGCTGGTCACTCTCAGTTTATTATCTGTATGGAGGTTAGATCTGAGTTAAATCAATGTTTTTTTACTACTAAAGTTGATATATAGGGATTGTGATTTGAAAATTTCACATACTATTATTTACTATTGTCTGCAGCATTATAAAAAGTGTAAGCCTCAGCTGTTCCTTCAATTTATTTGTTTTTCCATGATATAAAATAGGTACATATCATCTTTTGAATTTGACATAAACCTATACATTTAAGGTAACTTTTACCTTGTGACACACCCCTTTCCGAACCCCAGACGTAGCACCTATAACCTATGTGATGAACGCTGATTTTGGAAATTTTACCGTTCGCCTTTTATGTGTCTAATTTATATCCTCTTCATATATATAAATTTAACTAATGATTTTTTTGTAGATAATATATGGTATTTAATATTAGTTTTCCTAGTTTTAGAAAGTAACCGTGTACCAGATTAACATATGCATCCAATGAGTGTTCTTATGTTGTTTTATAATTTAAATATTGAGTATGGTGAAGGAGATTTCTCCCTAATAGTTTAGATAAATGATATATGAAGATTCTTTTTGTAATTCAGTTTTCTTGATTGTTAGCAAAAATTATTCAGTAATTTTATACACCTATACTTAGGATGCTCTCATGAATATATATAGATAGTAACATAGCCAACATTCTTTTCTTAGCTTTTATATTTGCTTATATATGTATATATATATATATATATATATATATATATATATATATATATATATAATATATATATATATATATATATGTATATACACATACATACATACATACATACATACATACATATACATACATACATACATACATACATACATACATACATACATACATATACATACATATATATATATATATATATATATATATATATATATATATATATATATATATATATATATATATATATTATATATATATATATACACATACACATACACATACACATACACATACACATACACATACACACACACACACACACACACACACACACACACACACACACACACACACACACACACACACACACACACACACACACACACACACACACACACATACATACATACATTCTCTCTCTCTTGCTCTCGCTCTTGATCTCTCTCTATCTCTCACTCTCTCTTCTCTCTCTCTCTCTCTCTCTCTCTCTCTCTCTCTCTCTCTCTCTCTCTCTCTCTCTCCTCTCCTCTCTCTCCCTCTCTCTTCTCTTTCTCTTTCTCTCTCTCTCTTCATTTTCTCTTTCCTCTCTTCTTCTCTCATTTATTTCCAGCAGCTCTCTTTCTCTCTCTCTCTTTCTAAGTTTTGACTCTCAATGCAAGTCAGTATGATAAATACAGTGAGACAAAATGAATATAACAGATATGATTAGATATAGAATTCATTATGAAAATTGTTTTTATGTCCATTGTTCTATTGAAAATCAAATTTACTCTCAAAATATAGCCAGAAATGATGAAAGCATTATGACACATAGACACAGAAACACACAACACAACAACACGACATGACACGACACGACACAACACGACACGACACGACACGACACGACACGACACGACACGACAACACACATGATATATATTCATCTATACAGTATGATAACAATAATGTTTTCATAAAGTTTCTTCTTTGGAGAATAAGAAATATAATGAAATGTTTTATAGATTTAATCAGGAAATATAGTTACCACTTTAGAACAAGAGAGTGCTATTTTTTTTTAGAAAGTGCATACAGTTTATAATCCTTATTAAAGGATGCTGATTTTCTTTTGGTTGAGGTTTTTGATAAAGAACTTTTGTAAATAAATGATATTTTTAAGAATTATAAAGCTAGTTAATGAAATCACAAACAAGCTGGAGTCAAGTACTCTTCAATGAAATCATTAATAACAGGTTGCTGAAACTTTTTTTAATAAAAAAAACAAACAAACCAAAAAAAAAAAAAGGTAGAAATGTATTTTTATATTTAGATATCATTTGATTCTATTTTTTTCCTATTTTTGATACCTGCTTGCAAAACATTTTTTTTTTTCACAAAGGCAGTTTCAGTGAAAATTCTCTGCCTGCTATCAATACTCATTTTTTTCTTTTTACATTTTGTTAGTATTTTTTCCTCCATTGTTATATCTTAGTTTCTGCCTTTTACCAAGTGGAATCTTCCCTCAGCAGATGTGCCCTGGCCAAAGGAACGTCCACGAGATCTGCGGCTCCAGATAACTACCCTCTCTGGACCCCACGTTCACGACACCCCAAAGATCACCACCACTATCCCCCGGACGCACGCACCTACTCACACCTCTTCGGGGGACGCCAGAACCTCTCCGGAAAAGCGTATGACTCCCGAAAAGAGGAAAAGCCGGGGGAGTAGCACTGAAGAGAATGAGGAAAAGCGCAGGAGCTGTGAGGTGGAGGCTCACCAATGGACACCGCCTCGACAGACCATCAACATAGGCTCAG